AGATGTCAAAAAGTATTTGCGGCTCCCAGTGTTTTCTTTTGCGTGGTGAGATGTCACTACTGAGACAAAACGTCCATATCAGCGCTGTTAGGGGAGGAGAAGCAGCCAAAACCAGAAGCAAAGAAATTACAACTTTCCCCCAAAAGTTTCTTCCACAAACTGTTGCAACATTTCCCTCTGTATAATCTGTTCATCACTGAGCTTCTTTACTGATATATCATTAAAAGGCTCTAAAACCAATGCAGTCATATACAAATATCTTCAACCCACCTGTAGCAGATGCGGCACATGTTGTAGGCTACAAAAATCTAGAGGTGCGTAACCAGCAGAAATGGCGGCTAGCAACAGCAGGTGTAATGTTAATGTTATGCCGTTCATGAGGCACTGCACAGCGGGTGTCATGGATCCCACAGACTTTAACTCGAACCAACTTTTAAATCAAAGAATGTGCTTAATAAAATAAAATAAAATAAAAAAGCCACAAGGAACACTCACCATGATTGCAGTGGATAATTTCACCCGTTTTGAACACCACTGCATTTTAGTTCGTTGTATGTTAGACATACTATGTTCTTAGCACAGCAGGAGCTATGCTAGTGGACCAAGAACAGCACAAACACAAACAAGAGCAGCCCACATTACTGGCTGTTACATTTTGACACTGCTCCCGAGGACACTAAACAACTACATTATGTAGATGTCTGTATGAAAAGCTCTGCTAAACAACGACGGCCTGCCAACCCACAACCCTTCCAGGCATTTTGGTTCCTCTATCTGAACAATGAACCAGACTTTAAAACAAGTTTAGTTTGTAAACCCCAAAGTTTCACTAAAATCCTCTCAATAGCTGCAGCAACTCTTAACGGGTTTGGCTCAGTGGTGCTGAATGTGTTTCTTTCAGTTCAAAACTGAAAGCTAATCCAATATCAAAAAGGAGAAAAGAGCAAGCACCAGATCCTCAGAACAATCTTTAATCCAAAGAATAATTAAACATTTAATCAATCCTGTGTTTTGGTTTTCCCTTCTACTGATCAACTACTTGTTTCACATCCAAAATAAGAACAATGCATTTAACCAGCATCCAGGCAGAGCTAACAACAGGAGAATGTTCATTTTAATGTGAAGAGCTGAGTGTTTTCATATGGTTTCCTTTCAATGTTCTACACTTTGTGCCTGTGTCACTGTTAAATGTAACTGCGACCTGGATTACTCCCATGGGAATTGGGACAGTTTGCACAGTACAGTTGACAAGACTGTTATGAAGCATGATGCTTGAGATAAAGGATGAAATGACAAGAGTTGTTCTGTCTTTCAAATTTCACTTGTAATCTTTTGTAAATCCTTAACTGTGCAACAATGGAGGGTGCCCTCAGGTAAATCCAACATGAAGTGTCACAACATGATGATTACTCATTTTAAAGCGTCATCAGTTTTATAAGGCTTAAGGTGATGAAACTGACTCCACCTATTTGTAGAACAGAACTGAACCAGTTGTAAGATTTTTCTGATTATATAAAAAACACACACACCTACACCTAATTGTAACGAAACAGAACTTCTCATGTTGGTAAAACACAACTTTCTATTAGTGTAGACTGGACATAGCTGTCAGGCATGACACAGTTTCTAAAAGTCTGCATTTCCAATTCTATAGTTAGGATGAAGGAAGCCAAGACACAGCAAACGGCATCACTGAACAAAGCATCTTCCGTCTTGTTGTCATGACTGTAGTTGACGTTATGCCAACAAGCAGCTGGTGATCGTGTTGTGTTACTGCGAATAGATAAAAGCCCCTGAAGCTAGTCGCTCTTAGGGATGATGCTCAGTAGGCAGTTTCCTAAGAGGGTCCCTCGAACTAGGTAGGTAGACTCGCTTTAGACGTGTCTCTACAGAAAGAATCCAACGCCTCAACTTTACTCTGAATATTACCCTAAAAAAAAAAAAATCATCTCAGGGCTTACTCCACCCACAGAACAAAAAGGTTTTCAGTTGTGGGTCTAAAGTAGGGGTGTCAAACTCCAGACCTCGAGGGCCGGTGTCCTAAAACTCAAATGTGTCCCTGCTGCAACACACCTGTATAAAATTAGTAGGTCATTAGCAAGACTCTATAGAACTTGACTGCATGCTGAGGTGGCAACCCCCAACCCAAGTAATTTTAAATAAATCTAAGTAAAGGTAAGTGTTTGGCAATATGTACTTCTAAAATAACTTTTATTGCACCATGTTTATTCAGTCATGAGCTCTGTAACATGAACCAAATGGCTGCGTTGCAACCTCAGCATGACTTGGGTACTTTTGTGAAATCTAATGATCTCCCCTGAACTTAATTTGGAACTATGTCCCTTTGGTGGAAAAGGGTAAGAGAATCAAGTTAATCAAAACGTCCTGTTCCCTGCACACATTTCCTGCAGAGGGAACTAGAGATGTCAACGGCTGACTGGAATAGGCCTGTTTGGGTTTTTTAGCTGATCAGCCATGACAGATGACTGATCAATTTCACATATTTCTTTCTTGGACTGGAGCCTCACTTGTCCGTCTCCAGAAACATGGCTTCAGGTAGCTATAATGCAGACAATGACTAAGTTATTGATTTGGCCATAGACAATACCCCTGTGAAACAAAATCTAACAAGTAATAAGTGCATCTATGTGCCAGTTTAACCACTGCCACTTCCCGTTAGTGCACAGACTCAATTGGTTTCAAAGTCTTCCCTCTATTTTCTATTGCAGTAATTTCAGTTGAAATAAAAGCTGTTCAATGTTTAGTGGCTCCAACTTCAACATCTGTTCAGTCTCATCTCCCAATACAGTGGCACTGAAATCCAACTAGGAACTAGGATTAGGTTTGTGTAAATACAGGGTGACGCAAGTCTGTAACACAATGGAATACACTGGAGTTTTTATCTATACAATAAGCTCTGGCCACTAACTTAAATCACATTGGTCACTTGACATTTGTTTGAATTAGACTGACTCCTGACACAAGTCTTGTAATCTGGGGCCGTTTTAGAGTAAAAAGGTTGATTACTTAATAATTTAGCCGTTTCGAGGTTATTCAAGGCATTATTGATCAATAATGACCTGAAGAAATACAGGACAGTGCGTTTTCATCCACTATGAAATTAGAATAGCACTTTGCCCATCTTTGCGAGAAGGTGCACTAAATATAAAACTTGTTATACAGTCAGTTTAGTGAGATAAGTACAGCTCTGTTTGACCCCTGTTCATTTATATAGATTTTTTTTTAAATCCTGTAATCACACATGAATTTATATGATGGACATCATTTTCCAGTATTGGAAAGACTACCAAAATATTTGTACTGAATTTACATTATAGCTAATTATATTATATTAAGCTGTGTCCATCCTGCATATAATACACCTGTACTGAAACTGCTCTAAATGTCAAAGCTTTTCACACAAAGAGTGTCTGAGGTCATTGGATCTCCCCAAACCAGTTAGCTGTCTGGGCTCATTGTTGCCTCATGCAGGCAGTTGGCTCCTCGCCCCGCCCTCACCTCTTTTATGCTCCAGTCCTCGGGCAGCATGGTTTAGAGCTGAGACAGGTTTTCACCGAGGGAAACCAAAGGAATCTTACCTAGCAAGCTCGCTAGTCAGGCAGTGACGTGGGTTAAAGCGAACCGCACAGCAGCAGATTTACGAAAACTGAGAGTAGGGGGTCAGCAAATATTTCAAGACCTGTCTGGTGTGTAGAGTAACTGTAGTCTCAAATAGACCTATTTCAGTGACAGTGGTTTAATTAAACCAGCAAGAAAGGTGTGCAAATGGCTATTACACAACTCAAGGATCCATCGTCACATCATATTTACTTTATTATGAGATATCACAAAATCTCTGATTTAATCTTTATATCTTAAATCTCTGATTTAAGAAACTGGAACTAGTAACTGTTGTTTATGCTTTTAACAATTCTTTGCAGTTCTTTAAGTGACAACCCACTGTATAGAGCCAAGAAGACCTCAGATTGTTGGTATAAGACTTCAGAAATACTAAAAAGGCTGTGGTTTAAATAAGATATGATAATCAAATATTACCCAGGCAGTAAAAATGCTCATATGGTTGGCAGTCATGCCCTGGCAAAAGCAACAGGTCCTGACCTTTGACCCCATAATCTAACTAATCCTGTCCATTCAAGATCCAAGTAAAAATGAGCTCGTAAGTAGGTCATGAGGCTGAGATTTGCTCACCATTAAACTGTTCACCCAAACAGTTGGTAAACAGCCATTTGATGGCAAGAAGTTTCCCCACATCAACAGTCTGGCGATGTACAGAGAAACAGAGCCAGAGAGGGAGGGCTGTATGAGGAAGTAGGATGCTTTTGTGGTTAAGGAAGTACGCTGAGCTTACAGGCCTGCAACACTGTGTGTGTTTCTAGGCTTTAGGGGGGTGGAGATGGCCCCATATAACTAAAACAGAACCTCAATTGTGTGCTCAAGACATTCTTTAGAATAAAAAACAACATTTTCTACTGTCAGCTTTTTTCAACATGTAGAGACCAGATAACTACCATGAAACCAGGGATGGAAGACACATTTGTACACTATGTAGAAATTTAAATTTTTATTGCGTTGAGCTTAATGAATACACGAGGCAGAAACTAATAATCGATTAGTCGAAAACTGGCATCTATTTTGGTTTGCAAATAACCATTTATATTTCCGTGTACCGGATAGCTCCATTACTTAGTGTTTGAGAGATGTTTACCCTACTTGGGTATGAAATGACAAAAGTCGTCTATTTAAATACCGATATAGTGATGATTTTTTATAGTGTGACATTTGATGCCTTCGCATATGTACATAATTCCTCATACCTCTGCACACCACTGCATAAACATAGTTTTTGTTGGACAGACCTCCAGCTAAGAGAAACATGAAAACAGTGACATAAACGTTCGTCACACACATGATCCAAAGGCCTAGGCAGGTTGTGTAGCCGCTCCCAGGTAAAGGGAGAGTGAGCATACATACCTGGCAGAGGCTAACTTAAACTTGGTTAGCATTACGAATTTACTCACCCTGGCTCGAACAAGCGGATGTTTGCTAGTCTCGTCCTCCTAAACAACATGAATGGGAAGTGTCGATGTAGAAATCCTTCGTAGGGGAGAGTCTGACCCCCCTTCCAAAAAAAATGATGGGAGGGTGCTGGTGAGCTGTGCTGGCGTAAGTTACCAGCGACACTAGCAGGTTAGCTAGCTAGCTGTCGATGGTTTCAACAGATCGGCTAGCGGCGGGTTCACTGGAGCTAGCCGCAGTTAGCTGCTTTGCACCGAGCTGTTTACTTTCCAGCTGTCAATGTCAGCGCAGTCCGGCTGCCTGCAAACTCTGTCCGCAAGAGGTCTTTGAGATAAATAGTGCATTAAACAAAGTGCTGGGCGCGTCTGAGAACCACTTTTTATCAGTTTTGGGTAGCTATAGAAAACTTTACCTGCCCTCCTGACCTGCCAGCAGAGCCATACTCCCTGCTGACACCGTTTTATCGCTCTCTTCTCGGAAACCCGGAAACAAGCAGAGCGACACAAAATGGAGCACAACAGCGGTGCATTAAAGCGCTGCCGTAAATTCCAGCTTTAACAAGGTCATATGGGTACTAACAAAACTCAGTCCTGAAACGTCTTTGATTTAATGGGACGTGTAATGTTTAGACTACGTCAATGTCACGATTTACATTTTCAGTTCAGTTGATCTAATTTTCATATTTCGTAAGATGTAGAGCATTGGATATATTTCGTGTTTGATGAAAATTTTCTTTCACTGTATGAAATAATTGTTATGGTTCCTTTGGTGCTAGAAGTTGAGGTAAACGGTTACTTTTTCATATATTTAGAGTTTCCCTCTAGTCTAAGCAGTTAAAAATTATAAACGGTGATGTGGAGTCTTTTTGAATAATTTTCTTATTATGAAATATGTGGGAAAGGTGAAAACAGAGAAACAAATAAACGTGTAATCTTTCTAAAACATGATGCATAAAAGGGCAAGACAATGAATTAACTGTCTTGAGGGGTTTGGTAAAATACGAGGTACGCGGAAACCAAATCTTTCTATAATAGAATTAATTAGCGTCCATCTGAAAATTGTTTAAAGTGATTATCAAATTAAATTAATAATATGAAAAATATAGCGTTAAGCTATGTTTGTCTCTGGGCCAGGAAAGTTTCCTTTTTCCAGTTTTTAAAGGATGCTTTTGAAGGCAGAAGTGTCAGGTGACTATAACGTGACGCTTGCGCAGTTGGAACCAGACGACTTCCTGTCAAGATGTCGGCGAGCATGGCGTACGCCGGATTGTGGAGGACATGCAGAACGTTACTACCCAGACACCATGTCCTGTCCCCCGCTGCCATCCGAACACAGAGCTCTGCTAGTGGAGACTTGATGCCCTGGACCTCGCTCTCCAGGCCTCCGTGGCCGGAGCAGCCGAGCCCGTACTCGGCGGAAGAAGAGCAGAGCCGACACGCTGCTGTGGTGAGCACCGTAAACCAGCGGATCAACCTTCGGGACTTCGGCCGGCTCTTCGCGGTGGTGCACTTCGCCGGACGCCAGTGGAAGGTCACCGGTGAAGACTTGATCCTGATCGAGAACCACATCGAGGCGGAGTGCGGGGAGCGTATCCGCATGGAGAAGGTGCTTTTGGTTGGAGCTGAGGACTTCACCCTGATTGGTAGGCCTCTTCTGGGGAAGGAGCTGGTCAGAGTCGAGGCCACCGTAATCGAAAAGACCGAGTCCTGGCCCAAAGTCCACATGCGTTTCTGGAAGAGACACCGGTTCCAGCGCAAAAGGATCATTATCCAGCCGCAGACGGTGCTAAGGATCAACGGCATCGAGCTGGCCCCCAGACTCACATGAAGATGATGACACAGGACTGGGACTCTGACCCGCGGTTTATTTTTTCTTATTGGTTTCAAACATGTAAACAAACTTGTGGCGGTCAGCTTATATGCTCATGACTCTGGTTTGAAACGAGGAGCTGAACATTTGAGTAATACGCTGAGCAGCTGTTCACTGGGTTGTACTCCTGTAAATATATAGTGCAGACCTGTGAGGAGATGTATTAAAGCTTGGTTTCCAACATGTACTGAGGGTTTGGATTAAATCTGAGTTTACAACACAAAACTTTACAAAGGGTTGAAGTTAGTGTAGCTGCAATGGGGGAAAATCCCCTCTTTTTCCTCAAGGACCCACAGAATAACCAGAGTAAGTCCACCGTTAGCCTAGATCGTGATTTATAGAGAGAAGATAAAGTGGGTCTGCCCACACTGACCAGAATGTCTGTGAACCTATGTCATCCTTTTGAGACTCAGCTGATACAAACATTTAATTTAATAAAACCAATCCCCTAAATGCAGGGTTCCCAACCTGAGGTGATATGTGTACCTATGTTAAAGTAGCTTATGCTATAAAACAATTACTGGTATTTCTGATGTAAAAGTTAGAATAAATAAAACATGTTTAAATGACTTAAGAAACACAGTCATGTGACAAGTTTTTAAAACAATTTCTAATTTTATTGTGAAACCTGACTAGATCGCCTCTGGGAACAAGAAAGCTCCACAGATGTTCAGAGGATCGATCTGAAGGCACTGTTGAACATTTCTGCTCAGAGGGTAACAAAGTTCTACTCAGAACTGAACTCCAGCGCTGGAGGTGATGTTTAAATGAGGAGTTTGTCCAACAGGCAAAAACAACAAAAGTGAGCGATCAAACTAAATACAATGCTGCTACTCATGTTAACAGATTGGTAGAAATCTCATCACAAACACATGTTCCCTGTGTGAGTCCAAATCAATGAAACATCCTTAAACAGCAAAAAAAAAAAAAACTTTGAATGATCTGCTTTAAGGAAAATCTGTTCTGTTCTCAAATTGACTGTATAGCTCAGTATATTTGACCACAGAACTCACATGGTGCTGAGCTGTGTTAAGACAGACAGGTGGTGTTCATTCATTCACAGGCTGAGGGGGCTAGTCGATCATTTCAATCTTGATACAGAAAGGAAACAACAAATGTTGACTTACTGTGTCACTCCTGCAGCTCTACACCAGCTTTGACTACACTTTGAATGTACACAAATTGTAGTCGTCTTGTAGAGAGAAATGTTAAGCTGAAGCTACTATGAGGCTAACCGATGACTTTGGATGTGTTTAACGTGATCCCTCCACCTTTGAGCAATAAGGAAACAACAACCCTGTGCACAGTGTGACCTCAGTAGACTTCAAATTAAGGGGTTTGGTTTAACACTAATCAAATAAGTATTATTAGCTTGGAAGTCAAGTGTGGTGGATTTTAGGAGAAGCTGCTTAGCTGAAAGATCACTCGTCAGCGAGGTGAAGCCCAGCCAGTTTTTGACCTACGGTTTGAATCTGCACAAAAACTAGACATATAGATCATGGTATAAGAATTAGTGACAGCTGGTCAAGTCGGACAATGTAACCACACCAGAGCAGCACATACGCATTTAACTTAACAGTGGCATCAAGTGAAAATTAGGCCTCAAAACTTTGTGATACTGTTGATTATGGTGTTGGGCACAGTTTGGCAGTTTTGGACAAAGAGCCTCTGCGCACCGAGGAAAAAAAACAAAAACACACAGAGGTTCTCTCATTTTCCAAAGTCTGCTGCATGTGCGAATGTGGGGGGAAAAAACTAATTTAATCAAACAGAAAACTTTGCTTTGGGTAAAATTAAGTTTAAAAGAAGAGATCATACAGCTTCAAAGTAGCAGCTAAAGTAAAGATCCTGCAAACTGCTATTAACCATCGAGTTAATTTAGTTCACAAACTCCCCCTAAGAATCCTGCACACACACCATCATTTTTCCTACACGGTGGGAATAACACTGTGTCGGGAACCCTGCTTCTGATTGCTGTGATAAACAATGCTTTGTAACTTCCTAAAAACAGAAATTCTAAGAACATTCTACAAGATCAGACCGACCAGACGTGTGGAGGCATGAAATAAAGGAAGCATTTCAATGTGTCTCCCAAGTGTGACAGTATAAGAGTTAACACTTTCTCTTTGAAGCATAGCATGGGAGTATCCCAAAGTGCTGAAGCCTCAAAGCAGCTCAAATTTAGAACCTATTTGTGTCTTCACTGCAGTTTCTCTCTTTGATATTTTTAATAATTTTATGACTTTGGGCAATGGAAAAGGAAGAATGGTTCTAGCGACTGATTTATGTGCCTAAAGAAACTTCTTATTCCATATATACCTTTCAAGACTCCAGAACAAGTCCCCTTGTGTTCTTTTAGTGTAGCTAAAACCAAATACACTTTGTGAAACATTTTCTGACTGGTCAGGCTTCGCTGGTGAATTCCGTGCTGTAAATCTGACTTTGCTGTTTACCAAGTCTGTAGGTTTGATTGTTTAGATGTCAGAACCCTCCCTGGGGTTTGGTGCAACATTTTTTTCACCCTCACAAAATGAAAGGAATCTAATGTACCATGGCAGAATATCCTCCTGCTGTCACAGCAATGAACAGTGATTTTCAAAACAAAATCTCAAGTATAATCTTCAGAAGTCCGATCAGAATAGTCCAAAAGATGGACTCTTCCTCCTGGAAGTCGTCCTCTGTAGCACGAGCAGATTTCTTTTCCTTATGTACACCTTCTGAGTTGTAAGAGCCCTTATCAAATGGGTCTTGGGACACAGTCTGATCGTAGAACACTCGCATTTCAAACTCACTCTCCTGGTGAGACGGGTGGCCATAAATGCCGATGCCCACAGGCCTTGTGAAGTCCCCGGGGACCACCACCACATCTTGTCCGCAGGTGGCTGATTGCAGCTTGTAGGTGTCGAAGCTCGGGTGCAGGGTTTTATCTGACACGTACAGGTCTGCGTCTCCCTTGAGGCTTTGCATGTGGAGGATGATTCTGCCGTCGTGGTTGAGGCGTAGGTAGCTGTAGTTTCCGGCCCCAATGTGGCCCTGAACCACATGGAGCAGCACCCATTCTTCAGGGAAGCTGTCATCCTCTGAGGGGCTCAGGAAGCTTCTGGCCTGGGACAGCAGGAGGGCCACGACCAGCGCGCTGCAACTCAGCTTCATGGTGAAGGCATCTGTCAGTCAGTCATCAGACAGCCTGAAAAAAAATAAATGAACAACACACAGATCAGGAGGCTACATTCAAACAGAGGCAAAGGCTAAACTGCTGCTCAGAACTACAGAAGTCAGTACAACCAACTCCAACTGCTGTCACAGCCAGCTGTTTGTAAATCAGCAGCAGAGGGGAGCTGAACAGAGAGGAGCTATACAAACAGTCTTCAATAGGCAGGCAGCAGAAACTGACTGAATAAAGGCAGTTTTAATGGAGGCTCAGTGGGAAGAGATCAGTGCTTTATGCATGGGTTAACTGATTTAGCCATTAGCAAAATGGGGAGGGGGAAGTGAGACCACAAAGCATCATAAAAGAGAGCCCCCATTAGTTAGTTTTGAAAGGATAGGGAAGCAAAAAGTGGAGGCATAAGCTGGAGATGTGTGCCATTTAAACAGCTGCCTGAGTCACGAAATTCAAAAAAGAGAAAAACATACATTAAAATATGTAGAATCAGTGTCTGCAAGTCAGTGT